TCTCTCTCTCTCTCTCTATCTCTCTCTCTCTCTCTCTCTCTCTCTCTCTCTCTCTCTCTCTCTCTGTCTGTCTCTCTCTCTCTCTCTCTCTCTCTCTCTCTCTCTCTCTCTCTCTCTCTCTTATTATAAGTATATATTATGTTCACTTGTCTCTCTCTATAAACATCTCTTATATATCGTTCATTTCTCAGAAATTTACTTGCATTTCTTTGATCATCATCTAATTATTTTCAATACAATCAAGATTTCAACCTTCATTTAATTTCTTGAGATGACCAAGGTGTGACAACTCCCTTTATTTTTATTTATTTTATTTCTTTCTGTATTTAATCGCCTCTTGTTTTTAATTTATCTCCAACACTTCTTCTTCTCCACACACACAATAATTCACTTCTTTTTTTCTTTTAATTTTTTTTTATCAACCGAACAAAATATACATGTAAATATGTGCAGACGAGTATCGATTACGTTCGAGCCTTATTCGGAATATCAAATATTTTTTATACTGTAATTAATTATTTTGCAATAATTTATTTTCTTGCCTATATGATTATGATACAATTTAATTAATTAATTTTTCTTTGCCCTGCAGAAAGTTGTTCTGAAATTAGATATTCATGACATCAAAGACAAACAGAAGGCCATGAAGGCAGTTTCCAGCCTCACAGGTACACACACGTACAGTATAACATCGATAAATTAATTAATAACCTCGTTTAAACAATAATTCCTTCTGGTTCCGACTCGGTGAAAACATATTAAATTATTAGTTCGATAATTAATAAAAATTTTGTTAGTCCCGACTGTATTAATTTATTAATTTTGGCAGCCATATGTTATATCGAATTATTAAAAAAAACTCTTAGTACCTATTTTTCTTTCCTATAAAATAATTAATTTGCCTATATATTGATATTTCGGGTACCGCTACGGTGTGTGCAGGTCTAGAGTCCCTTGCGATGGACATGAACGAGAAGAAACTAACGGTGATTGGAAATGTTGATCCAGTTGATGTAGTGAGCAAATTGAGAAAATCGTGGCACGCGGAAATACTCACGGTCGGGCCCGCGAAAGAGCCCGAAAAGACAAAGGAAGACGAGAAAAAAGCCGGAGAAGATAAAAAGAAAGCTGAAGAAGATAAAAAGAAAACTGAAGAAGAAAAAAAGAAAGAGAGTGAAAAACAAATTGCTGAGCTCCTCAAATTGTACCAAAGTTACAACCCTCAATGCACACAGTACTACCCTGTCTACAGCTCTGAGGAAGATCCTAATTCTTGTGTTATTTCTTGATTTAATATTTTAGGGTTTTATTGCAATTAGTACCCCTCTGTCATATTGAATTACTAAAAAAATTACCCCTTGTTATTTTACTGGTGAAAATCCCCTTATGGTTCAATTTTTTTTAGCATACAACCCCGTTGAATAGGGATTACTGATTGCTAAAACAAATTAAATAATAGGGTGGTTTTCGTCTATGAAATAACGTAGAGTAGTTTTTTAGTAATTCAGTGTAATACAGGGGTACTAATTGCAACAAACTCTAATATTTTTTATTTATGTAAATAGAACAAATAGGATTGGTCGTAACCACCGAAAGAGTAAAAAATCGGAACTATTCGAGTGCGTTTATTGTAATAATGGTCATTTATAAAGTTAAAAGTTGTGATGGTTATTTATAAGACTGGTTATAAAAAGTATATATATAAAAAAAAAAGGAATAGGGGAATAATTTTTGAAGTTCATGTAATATTTTTCTTTTTTGGGAAAATATAATAAGAGATTTCTTCAAATTGTTTGTTATTTATTTATTTTGCTGAAATAGTAAGAAATTGACTTATTTTGTTGCATAAAGACTTTTCAATTTGGAAATTCTACTCTTTAGTGTAGCTTTATAAGTTATTGTTTTCCATCTAATTTTCGGATATCTTTGAATACGCACACGCATGTTGTAACAATTACTTATACAATTATTTATTTATTTAAAAATTTGAAATAAAAAGTAAAAAAGATTGAAAAGTGAATTTAAGTTCAATAATCAGAGTATTTTTTCGGTTTTTTAGAACCTATAAGTTCAATAATCAGAGTATTTTTTTGGTTTTTTAGAACCTACACCTGGTGAAATATACCACGTAATTTTACATCATTGATTTAAAAAAAAATCCATTAGTTAAGTATACATACACATGTATGTGTTATTTTATGTAGATCAATATATAAAATTATATACTGTATTTCACCAAATGTAATTTCTACAAAATCAAAATCAACTGCAGTAGTGATAATGTACATTATATTAAATAAACGGTGGACTATAATTATGTTTTAAATCTACCAACTACATGGGCTATATGCCTCAAGTCTTTTAGAAACCGATCAAACGGTCAACATCATTATTGAAAAATATATTTTTAAGTTTGGATAATTTTAAATTGGGAGTGAAATTTCAACTATGGCTATCGGAAAGAAAAAAAAAAAAAAGATAATTAAAAAAATATTATAATTTTTTTTCTGAAAGAAAAAAGATAATTTTTTTTATAAATTTGAAATGATTTCTATCTCGATCGAGATGCCTCTAGAAAGTTCGAAATTGAAATAGTTAAATAACTCATTCAAGCCAGCCACTAAAATTAAAATAAATAAATTTAATATATATCGACTATCAAAGTACTTGTCATATGCGTCACACAGTGTACAAAATTGGTCCACCAATTCCTAACCAATCTATATTCTTTTACTTAAATTAATTTTAATTTATTATTCACTCCATCCATCTCTGAAAAACAAGATATACTAGATGACATACTTCAAGTTTATTATATGGACAATCAAATTTTATATGCATTCAATTGATTGTATTTAATTTTTATGTAATTAGGTCTTTTTTATTGCACATAGTTTTATAGTAAATTGCAGTAAATTGCGGCCACTCCTGCAGTAGAGTCAACTTACGAAAAAAAACTTCTTCTGATAGCGTAACTACAATCACCTCCACAACTATAAATCTTCTTACACGTCCACTCTTACGTGTCAAATTCAACAAAATCTTTTACATTGTGTGAAATGTTCTCTAGTTTGTACTTATTTTGTGTAAAAATGCAGTTTCTGATGCGTCACAATCTGATATTTACTAACCAAAAGACAAATCTTACGATCGATCATCTTGCTTCTAAATGTGGAGCTCGAATGGGGTAAAACGAGTACAAACTGGAGAATATTTCACATAACCTAAAATATTCAACTAAATTTGGCACCATGAGAGGGGACGTGCAAGAAGATTCATAGTTGAAGGATGTGATTGTAATTATCCAAATATGTGAGGTTTTTTCGTAATTTAACCTTACCTCAGGGGAATAATAATGTAATTCACCCTATTTTTATTGAATTAGTTTGAGAAGGTTAGTGTATAGCCCACGTAGAAGATGGACCAGTAAGCCCGTTAGTAGGGGCCCAAATTGTATTTTGCCGCCACTTGACTTTTGGCTAAAATATAAGACTTTGACTTTTGGCTACACACGACTTTCTAATTTTATTGCAATAAATTCTTAGATTATATCATTATATTGTCACTTATAGCCTAGAAAAATTAGCATAATAAAAAAGAACTGCAATCCCGAATTAGATTTGGTTCGTCTATTTTCAATTAGCCAACGTTAACCTTATCGGAGGATAGCTTAAAGAATTACGCCATGAATTATATCAAATTATGAAATTCTCCTTTTGTTTAGATAATTACATGAGTCACCATTTCAATTATGTATTATCTTACGAAAATACCCCTCAAGAGGTAAATTTAGTAATGTTAAATCGGTATAATCGAACCGAAAGTTTGGTACACCAACATTTCATATCGTTTACCTAACTGAATGTCAATTTGATTCGGTAAATAACTGAATTACATAAATTTTATGTAAAAATATATTTTAGAAAAATAGGTGGATATAATTATCCAAACAATAACGTTTTCATAAGTTGACTATATCTCAGAGGTGGCTGTAATTTGCCCAATTATAAATAAAAGATGTGCGATCGCATATACGATCGGAAAAAATAAATCAAAGATTAAAAGTTTGACTCAAAACTGGTCAAACTAACCAATTTCTCAGCTCTTTTGACTTTTGCATCATTGGTGGAGACAAAATCTTTATTAGTCACGTAATCGTGTCAATCGGAATCGATTTGTTACAGTACTTAAAAAATATAGTGATTAATTTGATTCGTGTATTATGTTATCAAAATGGTATATTCTTTATAAAAGGGAAATAGGCTAATTTAAATATAACTCTGTAATAATTGACTTCTAATTATATATTAATAGCTCCTCTCAAATTCAATATGGATGATAGATCCACTTGAGAAAGGTTGTTAATTAAATCATAATAATGTTTTGTTATGATATTATAATTCAACGTTTGTATTTATTACAACAATTACATCTATTACAAATAGAAAAACCAAATTACAAAAAAAATAAAAATCAGATATTAATCCATTAACTATATAAATACATATCCCAACAAATTCCATTTGATCACATTTTTGCATGTGTCAAGTGGACAAAAAACCCTGATATCAAAACAGGTAAAAAAAATTAAAAATTAAAAAAAAAAAAAGCTTCCTTATATAATAAAATCAAATCACTAGAAAATCAATCTTTTACTTCTTGAGGAAAAATGCATGTACCAACCTTGATCATCATCTTCCTCTTATTCACAAACAAATTAAACAACCCCCATAAATTTCATCAAGTCATAGCTCGAACAAGCGGCGAAGACATCGGCGAATGAGGCGAAGACATCTTCATGGACCCCATCATGATCTCATCCAATCTACGGAACGATAAGCTAACCTCGAGTTTACCCCTCCTTATATAGCGTTGCTTCTTCGTCTGAACAATCATCACAAACTCGTGAATCCTATTAATCGCAACCCTAACCGCCTCGTCGTCCATATTCGCAAAGCAAACCCTAAACCACCCGGGCTCCGAGCAGTGGAACGGGGCCCCCGGGGAAACATTAATCTTGACATCTTCTATAATCATCCTCCACAACTCCGCTTCCGCCTCGAAAGTCGCCTCCTTTAGAAGCCTCCTCAAATCCATCCAGCAGAACAAACCTGCATTGCTCTTCAAACTCCCGATGCCAACCTGAGCTAGCCCCCTCGTGAGAATCTCGTGCCGTTTGGCGAGACGTTTAGCGCTCTCGGGGATGAAACGGTCCACGAATTCGTCGTCCGAGAGCATGGAGGCTATTAGGTGTTGTGTCTGGGTGGAGACTAGTCCGAAGCTCGACATTTTACGCGCGCAATTAGTGACGGTGTCGTTGTACGAGTATATGATGCCGACACGGAAACCGGGAAACCCTAGGTCCTTGGAGAGACTGTAGACTATGTGGATTAGGTTAGGGTTGTAACTTTTAGGGTTTTCCTCGAATATTTCGGCAATGCTGGTGAAACCTGGTTGGTCGAAGACTGTGGCGGAGTAGATTTCGTCGCATATCAAGTGGATTTGTTTCTCGTTGGTGAAGGTTAGTGATTCGGTTAGGGTTTGTTTGTCGATCGTTGTGCCTAGTGGATTCGATGGATTGTTGAGGAGTAGGCCCTTCACTTTGATGTTCGAGTCTTGAGCTTTTTTGTACGCGGTCTCTAGGGCTTCGCGGGTGATCTTGAAACCGGTGGAGCTCTCACATACGACCGGGAGAAGTTGTATTCCGGTTCGCCACGTCAGATCTCGGTCGTTCCTGCACGATGAATACGGAATAAGTCACTTATTATAATACTATAAAAAAAATTATTTTATTTACAAGTGTGTGTATATAAGTAGACTAAATATTGACAAGTCACCAAAATTACTATTTGCTTTTACATCTAGGTTTATAATGTAAGGTGTTAGGAAAGAGACAAAATTAACATAATTTGGATCATTTGATGTTTAATTAAAAGAAAAGATGCTTGGGGGACACTGAAAATGATAATTCTAGAGGCTGAAAATTGATGGTTGACTAATTCATGTCCTCTAATGAAGTTCGATTGCGTATCCCGAATATTGTCTTTACTAATAAACTGTTCGAAAAATAATAAATCTCTATTAATTTATAAAAAAAAAAACGACGGGAGCATATCCCGTGACGTGGCAGTATATTTGTTGTTTGTCATATATGTGGGAGAAGTTGGGTTGGGGTTTTAGTTTATCACAAAAGGACTAAATAGTGGTTCACTAATAAAGTTAGGGGCATTTGTCATATATGTGAGAAGTTGAACCGTAAGTCTTAGTTTATTACAAAAGTAGTAAGTAGTGGTTACAAAGTTATTTTTCAAGCCCCACCAATGTATAATTAAATTATTATAAACAAATAAGTAAGAATTTTTGCATTGACTATATTGCCAATAAGCATCCAAAATTAGAATGAAGAGATTTTATTTTAGTTTTTTTAATTTATTTAATTTTAGAAATTCTTACCCTGGATAATATGGAGTTGGCACCAAAAGTGCATCACCGGAATCAGCCAAGCAGAAGGCCAATGTTTCTTGAGCTCCGGTTGCACCGCCACTCATCACAATCCGGTTCGGGTCGAACCGGACTCTGTTTCCCCTCACTCTCTCCATGAATCTTGCAACTGCCTGCAAATCATTTTAATCAAATATAATTAGGTATAATATTCTAAAAATAATAATTATAATAAATCTTGAAATTATGTATATTTGAAGATGTATATACTAAATAATAATATTAGTACATTTCTGAATTCCGGCAAGCCATGATAATCTTGAAAAATCGCGATTTCCTTGAAATCGTCCACTCCTTCATTCGTGCAAATTGAGGCCTTCGGGTTTTTCTTCACCCATTCTTGCACTAAATCGAATGAAAGCTGCACGAAAGAAATTATAAAAATAAATTATTTATGTATATGTTCATAAGCATTATATTAGTGTTTCCATTTTTATTTAATTATTTATTTTTAATGTTAATTACCTGGTTTTCTGCTAATCCCATCTGAATAACACCATTGGGATTCTTGGTGGGGTGATAAGGATCACTGTCGTACGCTTTCCACCCGTCGAAGAAAGCAGAGTTTTCGCCATGTCCGTCGTTCGTCGCAATTTTCGACAAAGTATATTCCATTTTCTTGTTCGAGAAAGAAAGAATTCGAATACCACGAAATCGAAAAGAACTATATAAATGAATTAAATAATAATGAATAAAAGAATGAAAGAACAAAAGAAATTAGTTATGAAACTATGTGGTAAGTAGTTGCTATTGAATTGTAATGAAAGATGTTTTTTTTGAGTACTATGTTATGGTTTAGGACATCTGTATTTATAGTAGTGGGATTCTTTGAAAAAATAATATCAATATTCAGAGTAAGTGAAGTTTCCTATGAAGGACACATCACAAACAATTATCTCCTCCTCAAATTAAATTAAAAAAAAATAATAGTAATTAAATTAAAACTGAATTTTTTTTTGAATCTTGGTAGGCGGCTTTGAACACAAGTCCTAAACCAGATTTTGATCACATGTACTATGTTTTCCATGTAATATTTTCAACAGTGTTTTTCTTTGAAATTAATGGATAATATAAAAATAATTATTATATCAAGATTTGTTAAAAGGACCACCTCATTAGTGTGACATTTTCCAATAATAATGTTTTGCTTGAAAGTTAATTGCAATTATTCGGCTAATAATTGCATATAAACGCTAGGCCGGTTATAGGGTTATCGATAAACGAAGAAATAAAATTTAATTATTTTTCCCTTTTTTGGTGGATTTAAATTTGTGGTTTGTTTAGGTTAAACTTTCCTTATTTGTGAAATTGCTGTCCAATTTTAATGATTTTGGGCAGCAATTTTTTTTGTAAATTAGGTATTTTTCTAGACAATGTGAATGCTGCAATAATTTTCCTAGTGAGTTCTTGAATTATATGATCAAAAATTCAGAACATTCAACACTCTCATTTTCATATATAATAGTTGCATATATAAAACTTGCATGCTTGAGACATTCTTGTACTAACAACTACATGTAAATGTTTGAAATTATGGATCATGACTTAGTAATATTCTTTGGTTGTTACAAAATTAGATTTGGAATTAAGATTAGAATCTTGTGTCCAATTTTTTATTTTTTATTTTTTTAATTAGTCTAAGGCGATGTTCGAGACTAAATAGTATACGTGAGTTAATAGTATATTTCGTTCACAAGATTTAGATTAATTCAAGTCTACTATAAAAAAACGAAGCCTGCAATTAAATGTTATTATCCAATAAAATTAATATTTTTCATTTTTCCACTTCAATTAATTTTGCGGGTAGTAGCTAAATTATGCATACTAGTATTCACCCGTGCGATGCACGGGGTGGCATATTTTCAACTGGAAATACATGTCTGAAAAATAAATTTACGCATATATAAATTATTACGCTCATTGAATTTAAATACAAAACGCGACCAACAATATTGAAGCATCATGTTCTTCATAGTTACATCATAAGAATAATATTAAATATTAGTATATCGTCAAAATTAAATCTTAAAGATAATAAAATTTGCAATGAGCATCCTAGGGACATGACTGAAAATAACATCGCACGGGGGAAATTATATAGAGAAGAAACACCTGCCAAAGAATAAGTTGTTAAAAAAAAGACATGTTACATGAATAATTGGTAAATATGAAAATATTATCTACCTTCAAATTCGATGAAATACTTCCTTGTACACGACATTTCTAGTAACATTGGTGAGTTCACCCGAATCCAACTTGATGAATATTTTAATGCCACCTCTGCTCGTAACTCTGGACAGTGCAACATATAGTTGATCGTGGCTGAAGACATGCTTAGGAAGATACAAACCAACATGCGAAAGAGTTTGAAACTTGGCTTTTATTGATTGTCATTGCAAAAGAAACAATCAACGGAAACTGTCTTTTCTGAAATTTAATTGGCAGTCCGGTAGATGGTATTAAAGTCATCCGAGGAATGAACATCATGTCACCGATATTTTTTCCGGAAAGAATTTTGCAACTCAGAACGTGAATGCCAGTTCTAATAATTTGAAGTTTGGTCCCGTTACACAATCCTTTAGCTTGATCGATGTTTCTTATTAGCATAACGGGTGCACCAATCTTGAACTTCAACGCATGAGAACGAAGTCCGGAGCATCTTATTGTGTTGAGGAATTCAGTCGAATAAATTTCTGCATTATCCTCCATTGTTTGCTCGTCCCTAAACATACTATCTGAGCTCAGGTACACCTTCTCCTCTCCTAGAAGGAGAGACATTAAGTGATCGTTCACAAACTCGACGCATTAATTAGTTGGTGCAAGAATTGCTCTCCCTTGAAAATAATCTGAATCATACATGTACTCAACAATCCGGGTAAACGAATTCCAGTAGGTCTCTGAATAGATCTTCTGAATCACCAATCAACATGTCATCGGGAATCACTATCGAAGCTTCACCATGATTTTGTTCCCCAACATCCTCACTACCAACCTTCAGTATCCAGTCTCCAAATTATTTTACCTCATCCACGTTAGATGGAGAAGAGCATGACTGCAATCTCATGTTCTTAGTCAACTTCATGACACGACAGAAATTCCACAGCGGAGAGGAGTTTATCGTAGCATGTACTATGTCCTGCCTTGATGCTTTGAGCACAACTGGTAAAATCTGCCTAAAATCTCTTCTAAGAACAACCACCTTACCACCAAAGAGTTTGTCAACCTGTAATATTGACTTCATTGTCTTGTCAAGCGCTTCAAAACAGTATCTATGCATCATAGGAGCCTCGTCCCATATAATAAGCTTTGCCCTTATGAACAACTCCGTCTGTGGACTTTTTTGCAATATGCTACAGGTGGAACTCTCGTGTACATTTATGGGTAGTCCGAATCGAGAATGAGCTGTTCTACCACCGGGGAGCAATAATGATGCTATACCACTCGATGCAACGTTAATTACAATCTCTCCCTTGGAACGAACTGCAGCCGAAAGAGTTTACCATAGAAAAGTCTTTCCCGTTTCACCATGGCCATATAGAAAGAACATTCCACCACGGTCATTGGATACAACATCCATGACTACATCATAAATCTTTGTTTGCACGTATGTAATTCAAGCAAGACACCGTTGAAGTTCCCTACCCATTTCAAACCGGTCGTAATCCAGTTCATCTAACACCAATATGTTTACTGTGTCATCCGCTGAGAATTCGATTGGAACTGGCATGGGCGCGTAATTTCGCAAGCTTTTACCATTGCTTTGCAATATTTTTTCTATTTCGGTGAGAGACGACAATATTAAAAAGATGAGTAATATTTAAAATCTAATTGAATAATGTGTTATACAATTTGCCATATCTGGATATGAAGACTTTGTTGTTTGTAAGCAATACCCTCAGCCAAATCCAACCAACAACTTTGTCAAACATGTTCGGGACGACTTAAGCTATTGGAAAGAAGCATAAGTACAAATAACCTTCTTATATAATCCCTCGGTGCCCAAGTATTCACTTCTATTATTGAATATATGTATTCTTTGTCGTTATCTAATAAACCCAACACATAACATGCATCCCTGAACGTAGGGTAGACGGTGTCAAAAACTTTTCTAATGTCCTCGTAGCACGTATATCCTCTCTGAATGTTAAGTAGCAATCTAAGGTATTAGTCTTTTCCTTTTCCAGGGGGAACATTCGCAAGCCTACCAATAGAAAATCTTTTTTTCCTTGGCGCCCAAGTTTGAGAATCCTCTTTTAACTCAAGTTCGCAAACCTCCACATTGCCTCACATGCCGAAAGATATCTGCAGTCGTAGTACATCTTTATCTCATCACAAATCTCAGCACCGCTATCTGTATTGCGTGTTTCAAAAAATGCCGCCGTAACTCGGCCATGCCCCTTGTTTACGCATTTGAACATGTATTTGATTGATTTGTTCTGGTTGCATGACTCGATATTAATGTGAGATCGGTATTTACTCAACAATATACGATTGTACGGGACTACAAACCCATTGTCAAGAGTAGTCTTCTTCTTCGTAACTGTTCTGCCATCTTCCATTCTCCTGTACACAGTAAAACCATCTGCATCTGATTCAGTGCGCTGCACAAATGGCTTTGGAAATCGCTTCGTGCAAACTCGATCCTTCATACAGGGAGATTTCAAATTCGCCTGACCGCACGGTCCATGTATCATATACTTCTCCACCAACTGGTACATCTTTCGGTCGTTTACTTTGTCAGGATTTTCAGCACATATGATCCTATCAATTTCTTCTGGGTTATTGGTCTTATCGTTATTATGAAACCACAATAAAATATGTGCATGCGGTAGACCTCGTTTCTGAAATTCAATTAAGCATACATCTGCATAGAAAATATAAACATATGGTATTAAAAAAATATGCATTAATTTAGTTAAGGAAGCAATAAATAGTTAAACTCACACATGAGCAATTTTTTTTAATTTATATGAATGAAGTAAATGTATAATTATAAACTGAGATCTAATTAAATACTTACATGTTGTAATACGTCTGAATATACAACCTTTCTTGATTTCTGTCATCATACTATTGAGCTTCATCTTGAACACACGACAAAGAATGTCTGGCCGATCCTCCGGCCTGAGATTTGTATCTTTCAACACCCTTTGTATTTCTGGCCATTGAGGATTGCATGTGATGACAATGAAGAGGGTTGTAGATCCAATCCAGTTACATATTTGAAGAGCATCAACGAAGTTGTTAAACATATACCTTGGACCTGCGGTGAACGACCATGGAATTATAATGCGTTGTCCAACTGATTTACCCTCAGTGTCTCCTTTAAAAATATTTTCTTCGATACCCTTGTACATGTCAACCCTAAGTTGATCTTGATTGAACCTTATGATATTCAACCTGTGTGACTCTACCATCGAAAATCCATCAACACAGAACTGCTGAAATAACTTCTTGAAATGCAAAAGTAACAAATGTTATCAACGCCGTTTCTGGATTAGATATGCAAAGAACTCTCGCATGCTTACCTTCCTCCATTTTCTATTATCAGCAAGCGAAGATTCTCTCAAACAGATATCCTCTCGATAATCATCTTCCCTGTAAGGAAATAAAAGAGGATACTGTAGAGGCAAGTAAAGAGGATGGAGCTCACTGATTCGTTGAAGCTTATTTGAGCGTGTCTCAGCTACAATATCCCTAAACGCATGTAACGAATCCAATACAATGCAATTGACCTGCTATTTTGTACAATGATTATACAAAATAAGTAAAACGTTACCAAAATAATACAAATATAAATATTTAATGACATAAAATTTCTACAATAAATTACCTTGACAAAAATATTGAGTGGAGCCCGTAGCAAGTTTCTAGTACAATGCAAATTAACCTACAAATGAGGAATGCCAAAACATATAAGTTATACAAAATAAAGGTCATTATGTAAAATTGTAAAAAAAAATTATATAGTTACCTTCATATATGCCGAAAAACATCCTTGTACCACATTATTTGTAGTTGGTTGTATCGCTAGATTCCGACGTGATCAAAATCCTTATGCCACTTCAACTATTAACTCTCGAGAGTGCGACATAGAGTTGTCCATGACTGAAAACATGTCTGAGCAAGTGCAATACTACATGGGAAAGAGTTTTATTGATTGTTATTGCAAAGGAAACCATCACCGAAGACTGACATTGCTAAAATTTAATAGGCGATGTAGAGTTGGACGGTACCAATGTCATTTGAGCAATGAACGTACACTATATGGTCAACATGTTTATCGGGTAGTGTCATGCATTTGAGAACGTGTTTTCCTATATTAATAACCTGAAGCCTAGTTCCACTGCACGATCCTCTAGCCTGATCAATATTTTTGATGAGCATAACGGGAATACATCTTTTCAATGCAACCTAGGTGGAATTCTGGAGCACGATATGGTGTTGAGGAACTCGGATCTATGATATTAACTCCTCATTGTACACACTATCGGAATTCAAATAAACCTTCTCTTCTCCAGTTATGAGCGACAAAAAATGATCATT